TTTATCAACACTTTTCCCTGTTATCCCTTGTCTCTTTTCCTCGTTTATTTGGCTTAGCTATCAGTCAATATGCAGAGTCTATCTAATAGCTACTTTTACATTTTAAAAAATGTTTTCATCTTTGTCACCATGGATAATGTTTAGCTTTAAGCTAGATCAGGCCAGTTTGTTCATAATTGCTAGCAGTTAATGCTATTCTTACTTTCTTGTTCTTGAGTTTTTTCTTTCCATTGTATATTATGAGTCTGATCACTTCAGCCACTCATCCACAATTTGAAGGGAATGCCATAATTATATGATGTAAACTATGTTGTGATAGGCTTTGTTTTAGTGTGTGCTGCTCAGAATTGCCCAATTTTGCCTAAAATTGCCCGGCCCCAACCATTGCTGCGCAGCAACTATAATTAGGGCCCGAGCACTGACCGAAGGCCAGGCAAAGGCCTTCTTGAAACTGAAAGAATTATTAGGGCCCGAGCGACGACAAAGTCATCCGTAGGACCCTATTGTAATCGCGCTGATTATTATGCTGACATTTCGTGTCCGTTGTCCACCAAACTTGACATGATTCATATTTGTCCCACCCTGAACACATTTATATGACAATATTCCGTGATAGTCATAGCGCCAACTAGTGGTGAAAGAAAGTACTTATTACCAAACACTTATATTTGGATTAACCTGAAATTTCAATGATGTGGTATATATTTGATGTACACAAACATGACATATCATTAGTGTCTACGTGTGCTGCAGAGGGTTTAATTTTTATGTCTCGCCATGAAACAGGAAATTGGTATATTTTTGCCGTTAATGTTCTGATCTCCATCAAACTTCAGATGATTCATATTAGTCCTGCCCTGAAAACATTTATATGACCATATTTCCTGATACTCATAGTGCTACCTAGTGGTGACAGGAAGTAGGTCTCAAACACTTATCTTTTGATTTATCTGAAAGTTAAATGCTGTGGTGTATATTTGATGTACAAAAACATGATGTATAATTACTGCGCTCTCCAACTCTCTCTAGTGGAAAGAGGAAGTGATACAAAATTTGAAATATGTTATTCCAGCCTTGTATCAAGGATATGCTGAGTCACTCCTGTATGTGATGTCTAACTTTGACAGAAATGAGCTGACGCATCAGAAGGCGTCGGAAATTCAATATTTTGGGGCGGTTGCACATGGTCGACGCAAAATGCCGAAATAGCGCCCCCTACATTTTTTTTTTTTAAAACTCCCCATTGGGGTTAGTTTGTACAGGTATTATACCCAGACGCACAAAAAAATCACATAACGTCATGGTAAGATCCCAACAGGAAGTTGGCCATTTTGTTTTGAATTTTTTCATTACAGCGATTTCCACAACTTAAATTTGAACGAACTCCTCCTAGGGATTTCGTCCTATAGACTTCAAAGTTGGTACAGATTATCCTGAGAACATCAAAAGTTATTAAAAGCTTTTCTCTATGTCAAGGGGCGTGGCCGCTAGGGCATGACAAATTTTGGCAACTTTTCGTTTTCTCGCTTTCGAATTTCGAACGGCTCTCACGTCCACATACTTGATCTCAGCAGCTTCAAACTTGCCAGACGTGATGATGGCTCTGCCCCAAAATGTTAATATCCCACCTTACTCATAGCACCACCCGGTGGTAACAAGAAGTGACCAGTTTTTACTTTAATATGTACTGATGCCACAAACTTGACCGCATCAACTTCATTCCACTTCTAATGCATGCAGAACAAGTTGGTGAAGCTACCTTATGAACGCTGTGAAGCTACTTCTAATGGTGTTCGTGTGTCCTCATAGGTTTTTTTTTTTTTGGCGTAAGAACATGAAAATTAATACATATGTGTAAGTTGCCGGGACGCACAAAAAAGTCTCCGCCACCAATGGTCTACTCCAAACAGGAAGTTGCCCATTTTCATTTAAACTTTTCATTTTGGTGTCGATTTTGTGATTTCCACACCTTGTATATGAACAAACTCCTCCTACAGATTTTTTCCAATCAACTTCAGATTTGGTACAGATCATCCTGAGACCATGCTGATCAAAAGTTATTAAAAGCTTTTCTCTATGTCAAGGGGCATGGCCGCTATGGCGCCTCCCTCGCCACCAAATACGTTTGGCATTTTGATGGCTTGAACGACCTCATATCCTCATGAAAAATGATATACAGGTCAAGAATGGCGAGCTCATGGGGGGGACAAAATGCCTTTTTAGCGCCCCCTTGAAAACTTCAAAAACCCCTCCCCATAGGTTTTTTTTTTTGGAGTAGGAAGATGAAACATCACGCCATGTCAGGGTTAACTTACTCCGAGTTTTCACATAACCGCTTCAGTGATGTGTGCTGCTGGCCCCGACGGTGGCGCGGGAGAGCGAGGGCCCGATCACAGCTTTAATTAGGGACCTCAGCCAAAGAAGGAAGTCCCTCTTGTTTCTGGTACGTTTACCCTAAAAGTTTTGTCTTTAACTGGCTGCCATGGCCACAATTTTCACTGTACATACACAACTTATACCAAAAAACGTAGGAAAATTTGTCCTGGTCACAGAAATGTTGACATGGAATCTCTCACACGTACACATTTTTGCTGAGTGGCTCCAAAGTGAAGGGAGCACCGATTTTTTTCTCATTCACTCCCATGTAAACTGACTCCCATTTTAACCCTTTAGGTGCCAGAGTTTATTAAGGAAAATATTCCGTTTTCATTTCAACATTTCAAAAGGCTGTCGCTTGAAAGTGGTGAGAGATAAAGGAATACTGTAAATGAGAAAACTATTCATCATGACCCAAAGTTTGTGATGTAAGTAAATTAACTCATCTAATTTGCATATTGTGACGTCTCTTGGCAGCACCCATATTGGATTTAATAAATCTCAGTAAAGCATTTTGAACATATTTACACAGTAGATTTCTTTTGTTTTGTGTTGTTTTTGTCATCTCATCCTCAAAATAAAGGAACAGGAATCTGATGGGAGTAAATTCACTCATCTAATTTGCACATTGTGGTGTCACGATGCGGCGGCCATATTGGATTTCATAAATCTCAGTAAAACAGCATTTTGAACATATTTGTTTCCTTTAGCCCTTAGCAGTAATGATTTTATGAGCTTAATGACAAAATTCTAACTATTAGAGGCAAAATTCATGACCTCCTGTCCACAGATAGTACCTGTCTCCCCAATTTCTCTTCAAGAATTGACCGCAGTGATTTCTTCATCTAAATCATCAAAATGTCTCTTAGACACCATCCCAACTAGGCTACTTAAGGAGGTCTTACCTTTAGTTAACACTCATATATTAGATATGGTCAATATATCCTTATTAACAGGCTATGTACCACAGTCTTTTAAGGTAGCTGTAATTAAACCTCTACTAAAAAAGCCCACCCTGGATCCAGAGGTGTTAGCCAACTATAGACCAATATCTAATCTTCCCTTACTTTCAAAGATCCTTGACAAAATAGTCGCAGACCAGCTGTGATTTTCTCCATGATAATATTTTATTTGAGGAATTTCAGTCAGGATTTAGAGTGCATCATGGCACTGAGACAGCACTAGTTAAAATTACAAATGACTTTCTGATTGCTTCAGACAAAGGACTCGTCTCTGTACTTGTTTTATTAGATCTTAGTGCGGCATTTGACACAATTGACCATCAAATTCTGCTCCAGAGACTGGAAGACTTAATTGGCCTAAAAGGTTCTGCACTAAGCTGGTTTAAAAATTATTTATATGATCATTTTCAGTTTGTTAACGTTCATAATGAATCATCCTTACGTACAAAAGTTTGTTTTGGAGTTCAGCAAGGTTCTGTGCTCAGACCAATCCTATTTACTCTATATATGCTTCCTTTAGGTAACATCATTAGAAATCACTCTGTAAATTTCCATTGTTAGCGGATGATACACAGTTGTATTTATCTATGAAGCCAGAAGAAAGTAATCAATTAACTAAACTTCATAATTGCCTTAAAGACATAAAAACCTGGATGAGCACAAATTTCCCAATGTTAAATGACAAAACTGAAGTTATTGTTCTTGGCCCCAAACAACTCAGAGACTCTTTATCTGATGACATAGTTTCTCTAGATGGCATTGCTCTGGCCTCTAGCACTACCGTAAGAAACCTTGGAGTAACATTTTTTAACATAATTGTAACATAATTCTCATTTCTCATCTCATTCACATTAAGACTAGACTTAAGACTTTCCTCTTTGATAAAGCTTATAGTTAGGGCTGGCTCAGGCTTGCCTTGTACCAGCCCCTAGTTAGGCTGACTTGGGCCTAGTCTGCCAGAGGACCCCCTACAATACACCAGGCACCTTCTCTCTCTCTCTCTCTCTCTCTCTCTCTCTCTCTCTCTCTCTCTCTCTCTCTCTCGTGTCCTATTACTACATCTTGCTAACTTGGCCATTCTGGATGTCACTAACTCGGCTTCTTCTATTGCAGCGGTACCTGGATAATGTGACGTGTGTGGTTGTGCTGCTGCCGTGGTCCTGCCAGATGCCTCCTGCTGCTGCTATCATTAGTCATACTTCTACTGTTATTATACACATATGATTATTGTTACATATGTATACTATCAGATGTTAATATATACTTTCAATATATTGTACCAAAATAGCCTGTAATATTAATTATATTATTACTTTCATTATTGCTGTTGTAAGCTACTGTCATTACCGTCGGATAACTGTTAATTTATCATGTTGGTCTGTTCTGTGCAACATCTGTTGCACGTCTGTCCATCCTGGAAGAGGGATCCCTCCTCAGTTGCTCTTATTTTTGCATATTGCAAATGCTTTCAAGGGTCCATTTATTTCTAGCATTAGTGGCCAATTAAAGTCTGTTATTTCTTTGTTCTCCACCCACAAAGGTATGTTTTTATATTATTACCTTGCCTCACAGCAGTGTGTGTGTGTGTGTGTGTGTGTGTGTGTGTGTGTGTGTGTGTGTGTGTGTGTGTGTATTTATGCTTTCCTTAATGTATGTACTCACATATAGCGCAGGTGGGGGTTCTTGGAGAAAACACGAGTCTGGATTGTAACCAGGTGGCTTCTTGTGATAGTTCTATAACAGACACAGACACACACAGACACACAAACACACACACACACACACAAATCAGGAAATCAAATTTCAAAATAGCATCTATATTCACGATTTGATGACAGGAAATTATTTACAATATAAACACTTGGTACTCATAGTACTGCTAACCAGTCAGTCAGTTGGGTTTGCAGTGTTTTATTTTGAAATAGGCTCATTTATCTTTGTGGATAATATGTTGAATCCATGTTCATATTTCTATTTATAAATTACAGATTTTCTTAAAGAATCCCTCTTTGTTTGACAGGGTGAATCTAATTTTCTCTAAATTTAAAACACTACCTAATTCCTTCAGCTACATACCAAATATTGTGAGCTTCTTCTCATAAATTAGTTCAGGAAAGGAGAACCAAAACTAAACTGACACAAACTAGGGAAGCAAAACTCAGGGAAGAATTCCACAACGGAACATGAGAGACAAGGCAGGAAATGACACCATCAACATGGGAGATTAACTGACAAGGAACAAAGGGAAACACACAGGTATATATACACAAAAACTAATTACAAGAACAAGACACAGCTGGAGTAGGTGGATACAGACAAAAGGAGAGAAACTGGGATTGGCTAACAACAAGGGTGTGGTAGGGAACACTAGAGTGGAGCTAACAAGACTAATACAGAACATGTGTGAAGGGAGGACTCTGGGAACAGGAAAGGACAAGCAAGAGTGATGGACAACAGGTATGATAAAAAAAATGGAGGGAAAACACACAAAGACGGGAAGTAAAACCAGACATGACACAAGCAGAGAGAATCTACAAACTAAAACAGTAAACAGACTTAACATGAATAAGGTTGGGACTCGTTAGGATTTTAACGATTCCGATTCCTTACCGATTCCTTCTTAACATTCCGATTCCTTACCGATTCCTTCTTAACATTCCGATTCCTTACCGATTCCTCTTACCAATTCCTACATTATATTCATTATACTTGCTATACTTAAACAAGTATAAACACAAATGCAATCATACAAATACAAAAACTAGTGCACAGTACAATTAGATGAAAATACACATTTCTGCGTGGTGTGTATTTCAGATTTAGAGCTTGTATCATCTCCCTGAGAATATATAACAACAAAAAGTGATTCTCTGATTTCTACAGTAACACTATTACCTCAAATTAACCACAGCAATGTAATAAAAAATACTTATATGCATTCATGCTTGGGCACTGTTATTTACGTGACAACACCTGAACAGAACACACACACACATTGGCTGTTTGTTTATACAAATCAACTCGCTGGAAGCATAGGACATACCGCCACCAACCTCCGCCTTGATTAAACGCTGAAAATTAAATAAAAGAGGGAGACAGGTTTTTCCTATTTTATCTTATTTTCTTATATTTCTCCCTCTCCCCTCGCTGGAAGCATCGGACCTCCCGCCGCCCGCTCCCGTCTCAAACACGAAGGTCTCCCTCTCCGCTGAGCACCCACAGCGCATGCCCGGCCTGTTAAATAGCCTGTAACCATAACAACTGTGTGACACAAACTCATTAAATAATGTCGGGCTCGGTCGGGTTCGGACAGAAATATGCGGCCCGTGCCGCACTCTAATGGAAATGCACGTGACGTTTTTTTTTTTTTTTTTTACAATCTACAGTTGCAATCAAATTTATTCAACCCCCACTGCATATTAGGCTTATTGGCAAAGTATACAATTTCTCAGCTGTTTGCAATAAACACAAGAACTTAACAAGAACTGTTTAAGTAGTTCAATGAAACTAATATTACAAGGGTTTTGATCCAAATTCAACACAAAATGCTACTTTTAATGACTACTGCAGTCTCAAAATTATTATTATTATTAAATTATATATAACCCCTTCATGACAAGCATCTTCAGTACTTAGTAGAGCACCCTTTTGCTGTTATGACCTGATGCAAACGTGATGCATAGCCAGACACCAGCTTCAGACAGACTGAGGAATCTTAGCCCATTCCTCATGGGTAATGGCCTCCAGTTCAGTAATATTCTTGGGTGTGCGTTTTGCAACCGCCTTCTTCAAATTCCACCAGAGATTTTCTATGGGGTTCAAGTCAGGCGACTGTGACGGCCGCTCTAGAATCTTCCATTTCTTTTTCTGAAACCAAGCCTTGGTGGACTTTGAGGACTTTGGAGGACTTTTCAGCATATGCTTCATTCTTCTTCTTCCTCCAGACATACCGCTGTTCCATAACCCCGAAAAGTTCCAGTTTTGTTTCATCACTCCACAGAACAGAATTCCAAAACTTCTGTGGCTTATTTATATGGTTTTGAGCATAATGGAGCCGACTTTTCTTATGCTTTTGGGTCAGTAGTGGTGTACGTCTTGGAGTCCGGGCATGGAGCCCTTCGGTGTTTAGTATGCACCTTATTGTACAAACTGAAACCTCAGTGCCTGCTGCCACCAAGTCTTGCTGCAGGTGTTTTGCAGTTACTCAAGGGTTTTTGACCACTTGCCTCCTCAGGAATCTGGTGGCAGCCGCTGATAGTTTCCTCTTTCTGCCACGTCCAGGTAGTGTAGCCACTGTTCCTTTACCTTTGAACTTGCGAACTATGCTTCCAACTGTATCTCTAGGAACATTCAGAGCTTTTGCTATCGTTTTGTATCCTTTTCCTTGTTTGTGCAAGGCAATGATTTCTTCTCTGAACTTTTTGGACAATTCTTTTGACTTAGCCATATTTCTAACATGCAATCAAACGTCACTCTCAACAAACCCCTAGCCAGTCCAGGTATTTATGTGTTCTGTCTCAAACACACCTGAACTAATGAAGCCCTTGATTAGTTGCACCAGGTGTGCTTGAAACAGGGGGTTGAATAATTGTGATTAGTTGCGTCAGGTGTGCTTGAGACAGGGGGTTGAATAATTTTGAGACTGCAGTAGTGATTAAAAGTAGCATTTTTTGGATAAAATTTGGATAAAAACCATGGAGATATTAGTTTTATTAAACTATTTCAACTGTTCTTGTCTACTTTGTTTATTGCAAACAGCTGAAAAATTGTACATTTTGCCAATAAGCCTAATATGCAATGGGGGTTGAATAATTTTGATTGCAATTGTAGGAACCGTTTGCAGTAACCGTTACTCCAAATGTGATGGAACCGGTTCCAGAACCGGAACTTTTGACCCGGTTCCAAAAAAGAACCAGATCCGGATCCCAACCCTAAACATGAATGAATGTCCTCAAACAAGGAAGAACACATACAGAAGACCCCAAAACAAAAATAACGGAATATAAACAAAACCCAGGTTCATGACACTTCTCAGATCTCCAAAACTGAAGCACTGCTAGCAGTGTGGACAGAGAGATGACCTGAGCTTCATACCTATCCTTCACTCTACGTGGCTCAATCACCCTACACAGTGCACTTTATGGGGCAGGGGAAAACTCCTTCTAAAAAGCCTGAGCAAAAAAGTCAAATAAATGACAAAAAAAAGGCAAATAAACTTTGCAACCTATGGCATTGCAGATCAGTTCCCTGATCTTTCGAATATTTCACACAGAGGGGTGAAGCATCTTTGAATATTTTTTGTAGTGTTGTGGGAGAGAAGTGTAACCTATGGAACTATGGTTTAAATTTTAACCCTATTAGTCATTAGAGAGCAGATCTCCACCATGTGACTGCCTGAACTGATCACAGCCACCCTGGAAAATTATTTTAATTCCAGCAGAAAATGCAGCATGATGTTTCAGAAGTGAATAAAAACAAAAGTGAAAAGAAAAAGCTATGTTTGACAGAGCTGCAGTGCATTAAGCAGATTGATTTTTTCAGCTAGCATGCATTGTTTGTGAAATATAGTTACAAGGTATTTATTATGAGGATGGAAGTATTTTTAATAATAATAATAATAATAATAATAATAATAATAATAATAATTTTATTTATAAAGCACTTTTCAAGCCATGCACAAAGTGCTTTCTAAAATAAAACAAACAAGCAAGCAACACAAAAACAAGCAAACACAAAAGACAATAAAACAATAAAAAACACAAAACATCATTTGTGATTAACTGTAGGCCATAGTGTAGAAGTGAGTTTTGAGAAGGCTTTTGAAAGTTGTGATGGAATCTGTTGATCTTATACAGAGTGGAAAATTGTTCCATAAGCGAGGGGCCATCATCAGGAACCATTAATAAATTTTGCTCCTGGCTGGTGAGTACTGTGTTACAAGTTCTTTTATATATTCTGGGGCCAGACCATGAATTGCCTTATGGGTGATTAATAGAATTTTGAACTGAATTCTAAAATTAACAGGCAGCCAGTGCAAAGATGCTAAGATTGGTGTCATATGACACGACCTTCTTGATTTGGTTAATAATCTAGCTGCTGAATTCTGTATAAGCTGTAGTTGTGAAACTGAGTGAGAATTTAAGCAGGTAAAGAGCGAGTTACAATAGTCCAGGCATGATGATATAAAAGCGTGAATAACTTTTCCTGTGTTGTCGTAACTGAGCATGTGTCTGATCTTTGAAATATTTCTTAACTGATAGAAGCAAACTTGAGTTGTCTTTCTGATGTGGTGTCCAAAGGGTAAGTTACTGTCGAAAATTACACTAAGGTTCTTTGCAACCGATTTAACATTGTTACTGAATGAACCAAGAGAAGACTCTATCTGTTGTTTATGACATTCTGGGCCCAAGATCAAGACCTCAGATTTGCTACTGTTGAATTGAAGGTCAGGGTCAAGGTCAACTTTATTTATATAGCACATTTAAAACAGCCGAGGCGGACCAAAGTGCTGTACAATCTAGAAAGCACTAGGTACTGTAATACAACAAAAGAAAATCAAAATACAAAATACAGTGTACACAATCTGCTATAATAATTCGCGAAAAATATAAATTATGAAAATATAGAATGCCGAATCAGCATAATAAACAAAGAATCAATCAATCAGTCGAAGACCCAGAAATGTACAGCTTAAGATGCACCAAAAGCCAGTGAGAAAAGATGGGTCTTAAGGA